CTCCTACTCGTTCTCCTCGCGCGTGCTCGCTGCGACCGCCCTGCCCTGCCCCTCGGCAGTGACTCAGCAGGAAAGCGCGACTGGACTGGGCCGAAAGGGCTGAGCCGAGCCACCCTTTCCAGGTCCACGCCACTGAGCTGGTGGGGATGGGAGGAGGATTTTGGGGCGGAGGTGGGCGTCCCTAGACCTGGTCTCTGATCTTTTTTCGTGACCCAGGAAAACTCATCCTTCTCCGGCCCTGAGTTTCCCTTCTGTACAGTAGAGATAAAGATAAACATGTCCAGGGGTAGTCCTGAGACAAGATAGTACTAGTTAGTAGGAAGAGCGTGGGGCTTTTTGGAGTTTGACAGCTCAGGGTGCGAATCCCACCCCCTAATAAGCTAGCTGTAAGATCCCGGCCAATCCCTAAATCCTCAAATGGCAAATCAGAGAAGGATTTTACCTCCATCTCTCAGGTTGCGACTGTGAAATGAGACAACGTATACAAATGCGGGGACGGGCGGAGGGAACAAAACCGCTTAATAGGTGGCTGCAGAATTCCAATTAGGAGAACCAGCTTTGATTAGCAAAACAAAAAGGGCAATTTTGGAAAGCTAGTCCTGGAGGCTAGGCAGTAGACAAGATAATTCTGCATAAGAAATGAGCAAGAACACATGTGAAAAATAGGCAAAGGACTTGATAGACATGTCTCCAAAGAAGATATACATATAGCCAATGAGAACAACAACAAAAGACACTTGACATAATTAGTCATTAAGTAGATAAAAAACAAAACCAGGAGATAACACTTCACAGCCAGTAGGATGGCTAGAATTTTTTTTAAGGAGGGAACAGGAGTTAGCAAAGATGTGGAGAATTGGAACCCCTGTGCAGTGCAAAGTGGGAATGTAAAATGGCCCAACCACTGTGGAAAACCGTTTGGTGGTCCCTCAAAATGTTAAACATAGAATTACCATATGGCCTAGCAATTCCACTCCTGTGTATATATCCAAGAGAACTGGAAACAGGTTCCCAAACAGATACTTGTACAGGACTGTTCATAGCAGCATTATTCACAAAAGCCAAAAGGTAAAAATAGCCCGTGTCCATCAACAGATGAATGGATAAACACAATCTGATAAGTCCATTCAAAGGGATATTATTTCACCTTAAAAAAGGATGAGGGCTTCCCTGGTGGTGCAACGGTTGAGAATCCACCTGCCAGTGCAGGGGACACGGGTTCGATCCCTGGTCCGGGAAGATCCTGCGTGCCACGGAGCAACTGGGCGTGTGTGCCACAACTACTGAGCCTGCGCTCTAGAGCCACAAGCCACAACTACTGAGCCCACATGCCACAACTGCTGAAGCCTGCGCGCCTAGAGCCTGTGCTCCGCAACAAGAGAAGCCACCACGATGAGAAGCCCGCGCACCGCAACGAAGAGCAGCCCCCACTCACCGCAACCAGAGAAAAGACCGGGCGCAGCAACGAAGACCCAATGCATCCAGAAACAGTAAATAAATAAAATAAAATAAATAAATTTTAAAAAAAAAGGATGAGGTACTGATACATGCTACAATGCAAATGAACCTTGAAAACACTATGCCAAGTGAGAGAAGCCAGTCACAAATGGCTACATGTTGCCTGATTCTATGTCTAGGAAATGTCTAGAACCCATACAGACAGAAAGTAAATTAGCGGTTGCCAGGGGCCCCGGGGTGGGGAAAATGGAGAGTAACTGCTAATGGGTATGAGGTTTTTTTGGTGGGGTGATGAAATGTTCTGGAATGTTCTGGAATTAGATAGTGGTGATGGTTGCACAACCCTGCAAATAGCTAACAACCACTGAATTGTACACTTGAGTGTACAGGGAGAATTTGATGGTATGTGAATTATATCACAATAAAGCTGTTATTTAAGAAAAAGCAATGAGCAAAAATGTGGGAGTCAAGAGGGCTTGCAAATGCGGAAGGAGGTGGTAGGAGACGGAGGGTCTCAGCATTTGGGGTAGGCCATTAGGGCTAGAGTAGAGACTATCAGTAACAATTACGTGGGAATGTGCCTGTGTGTGCGGTGGTGGTAATGGTGGCAGTGTGTGTGTATGTGAATATACAAGGGATTTTTAAAAACAGGGTATCTCATTTCCGGCTGTTTGTTGAATGCTTGCTCCAGATCGTCAGCCAGGTGTGCACCGTGCACAGCCTGGAATCGGTGGAACTTTGGGAGTGAAGGGCTTGGTCAGTGAACAGGTAAAAGGAGAGTCACAAAGGAAGCAAAAGCAGATGGAAGATTTAGAAATCAGCAAAAGTCAGGGGTACTTAGCAGAACCTAAGCTCCCTAAGAATTCCTGAGGCTTTTGGTAGGGATCCTGGTATCCTGCTTTAATGGGTCCTTTTGATTAGATCTTAAGAGGCAAGGTGCACTCAGCAAGTTAAAAGAGGTGGGAAATGCTCAAGAGGCTGACATCTGGGCCGCCTGCATTCTTCATTTTCCAATGGATTCTCATTGCTCTTCGAATAAAACTCCTCCCGGTGGCCTAGAAAATCCTGAGTGGTCTGGCGCCTACCAGCTTTCCTGACTCATCTATTATCATGTTTCTCTTTGCTCCAATCACAATGCCCTTCTTGCTGGTCCTTCTGCAGGCCAGGCTAAATCCTCAGTGAAGGACCTGGAATGGTCCACCCGAAACATTTTCATGATCAACAAAAGGCTCGTGGCTGGTTCCCCCTCACTCCTCGGGCCCAGCTCAAGGCTCACCACCTCAGCGGCCTTCCCTGACCACCTGACCCTCCCCATAACACCCTGCTTCATGTTCTTTGTAGCACTAATCACTAGCTCAAACTCTCTGGGCTATTGACTTGTTCAATGGCTTATCATGGGTCTTCTTTTGAAGGTAATCTCTGGGCCATGCAAACAGTAACTGGTCTAGATCTCTTCCTGTTCTGCAGCCCCAGAGTCCAGCACGGTGCTCAGACTAGCACACAGGTGCTCCAGAAATACTTGTTCATGTCCTCCGTTCACTGGACAAATATTATCTGAGCACCTGCCATGTATAAGCTCCTACGTGCAAAGTCAAGCACAACAGACCCAGCCCCAGCCCTCCCAGCTCCCCTGGGCTGGTGGAAGACACAGCTAAGTCAGCAGTCTGCTGTGATGTAGGGGTGAGTGCTGTCACTGGGGAGGTACAGGGTGTGATGGGGGCTCCTAGTCCAGACCGTGGGTGGGGGAGGGGGTATCCGTGAAGGCCTCTGGAGAAAATGAAAGCTGAGACATGAGGCTAAATAAGAGTTGACCAAAGGGAAGGAGGGGAGAGGGTGACGTGTATTCCAGGCAGAGAGAACAGCATGTGCAGAGGCCCGGTGGGAAGAAAGCCCAGACACTAGAGGAATTGAAAGTACTTCAGCCTGGCAAGAGCCTGGCAGCAAGTGGTAAGGGATGATGTCGAACACAAGTAGAACCAGGCTGTTGCAGGACCTAGACTGAGCTAGGTTGCTGAGGAAGACACTGGGGAGCCATGGAAGGGGTTTAAGCAGCGGAGTGGCACAATCAGATTTGTCAACATTAGACAATTCACTGCTCTTGCGGTATGGGGAGTGGATTGGAGACAGTGAGGCAGTGAAGAGGCCATGAAAGAAATGTAAGAGAAGAAATGGTAAGAGAAACGAACATATTCCAGCAGTGTTTGGGAGGTAGAATCAGTAGACTTTAATGACTAATTAGTTTTTCAAGGGTGGGGACTGTTGGGGATAACACCCAGATTTCCAGCTTAAGCTAGTGCTTGGTAGTGTTACTTCCTAAACAGGGAAACCCAGGTTAAGGTGTAAGTGATGAAGTTCTAAGTGTCACAGGTTAAGTTTCAGGAGAGCACAGGGCGCTCAAGTCAGCATTTGGATTATTCTGTGAGTTTCTCAAGGGCAAAAACCCTTATTTATCTGCGTGTTCCCAAACCCAGTAGGCTCTGGCCCACAGAACACCAAAGTGTACACAGAGCCACAGAAAACAGACAGCAGAACAGCTTTGATAACTGTCTGGAAAACAGGTTTCAGGTCGGCCCCACAGGACAGACAAAAACTTAGGAGCCTCAGTGTCTCACTCAGGATGGGCTAGGTTACGCTGCTATGATAAACCATCCCCAAACGCAGATTTCTCACTCACTCTACCTGCCCATCTTGAGTCAATGGAAGCTTTTCTCCAGGTGGGGACCCAGACTGATGGAGCCTCCACCACCTGGAATGTCACTGGTCACCTTGAAGGAAAGGAACTTGGCAGACAGCGCTTGGGTCCTTGAAGGCTTCTGCCTGAGGGGGATACTTCCACTCACATTTCATCAGCCAAAGCGTGTCAACATGCCATGCCTCGCTTCAAGAGGACAGGGAAGTACAAATCTACCATATGCCAGGAAGGGGAAGAACTGGACATGTTGGTGCCCAGTAATGGGCATCAAGAATCTTAACTTCTGGTCCTGCGTCTCCTCTGCGAACTTGTACAAGTCATTTCCCCGCTCTGAGCCTCAGTTGTCCCTGTCTGTAAAAAGGGATGCTAATACTTCCCTTTAGTTGAGCATTGATGAAAGCACTTTGTTTAGATGAGGAAGGGGAGTCCAGGGGTGGGAAGCCGTGACACATCTCAAGACAATAGAGAGGCACACTCGAGTGTGGATGTGGCTGGAGTGGCAATGACCACAGGCTAAGCAGAATCTGAGTGTGCTGCACTGAGGTCTAGGGGCTGAGGGCAGCTACAGCATCCCTGTCCCTCTGCCCCGACTCCCTGAATTCTTAAGCATTTTCATTCCTTTCACTCCTCCAGCCCTCATCCCTCCAATGACACAGTGGGTCACAGAGCTCCCTGACAAATGGAGACAAAACCAATACTGCCAAGAGCTGATGGAGTTTGGAGCTTAAGTGTCTGCCTCACTCTCTGGCTGGCAGCCAGGACTTGGGTTTGGAGCCTGTGGGAGGCAGAATAATTCCCGCCGCCGCCCCCGCCGCCCCCCCCCCCCCCCCCCCCCCCCGCAAGAGGTCAAGTCCTAATCCCTGGAGCTGGTGAAAATGCTCCTTTACGTAGCTAAAAAGATTTTGCAGACACGGTTAAATTAAGGACCTTGAGATGGGAAGATGATCCTGGATTATCCAGGTGGGCCTAATATAATAACAAAGGGCCTTCGAGGATGGAAGAGGGAGGCAGAAGAATCAGAAAAAGAGATGAGATGATGGACGCTGGGGTCAGAGTGGTGCAATGCTGGCTGGAAGGAGGTTGTGAGCAGGCAGGGAACGCAGGCAGCCTCGAGAAGCTGGACAAGGTAAGGAAAAGGATTCCCCACTGGATCCTCTAGAAAGAATACTGCCCTGCCAACACCTCGAATTGAGCCCAGGGAAACGCATTTCAGACTCGTGACCTTGTGAACCGTAAGATAATAAATTTGTTGTTTTAAGCCGCTAAATTGATAGTAATTTGTTACGGCAGGGATAGGAAACTCATACAGAGCCTGCAGGCTATGTGGAGGGCGGGGGTTTGACGTCAGACAGTTGCTACTGGCAAGTCAGCCACCGGCGGGCTGAGAGAGGCTCTGGCAGGATCCCTCACTTCCCTCTGGCCCTGGGGCGCCAGGTGAGGTACCTCAAGAGCAGCCCCTGGGGAAGCCCCAATGCTGCTTTACTCTCCTCCATCATCCTTTCTGCCTCCTCTCAATTTTTTTCTCTTCTAGTGACTCTTGCTATGTGCCTTTGAGCAGACCCCTTCCTTTAGGATTCTGTGTATGTAAAAGGAAAATGGGGATGGGCTAGGGGACCCTTTAGGGGCCTTCCTGGCCTGACACTGTGAGTCAGCATTTCCAGGATGTGATGGGCCCGCCGAAAGCTCTCTGATGATGCTCTTGAACTGCCCTCCACCCCAGGCAGGTTTCCTCCAGAGAGTCCTAACCAGAGTCTTCTCTGCTGCCACAAACAACGCACTTATGCCCAAACATTGACCTCGGTTAAAACACAGGGGGGACAATGCTTTATTGACTTGGCACCTATGAACGGGTGGCTACAGGCCCCCAGGGTTCTTTGCTTCTGCAAAGTGGAGGCTCTGTGGTGGGAGCAGCATAAATCGAGTTGCTGGTTCCAGCTGCAGGGAGGGGCCACTGTCCCTGCTTTGGCCCCTCCAGTCCCCTTGTCCAGCCAAGCACCATCTGAGTCCAGGCCCTCACAGAGCAGGCCAGGGCAACGACCCAGGTCCTTCTGCAGCCCCAGGCCAGTCTAAGGTAAGAGCTGTAGGCCTCTCTTGCCTTCCCCTCTTCTTGAGGATCCCCAGATGGGTGGAGGGAAAGGAGATACCCCATTTACAGAGAGCACCTGAACCTCCTGGACCAGGGTTAAGGAAGGCTGGGTTAAGGGTATTGTAACAGGAGTCCCACCAAAGAGGAAAGTTAGGAGTGCTTCCCTTCCCACCAGTTTCTGTTTTAGCTGAGCAGAAAGTAGGAGTTTTCATTGAAATGGGCCCACAGTAGGTGATGACAAGTGAGGTCACACACTAAGTTGATGGGATGGAGCCAGGCTCCCTCAGGCAGGACTACACCATCTGGGCAGGCTCTCTCCCAGGCAAGGGGAGGGAAGGGCAGAGTGAACTGCAGTTGTCACAGGAGGAGGACTTCCTGAAGGAAGAGGGGCAGGCCACAGTAGGCTCCCAGAAGTGGTCTGCAGAGTGGGCTGGGTCACGATGGCTGGCACAGGACACTGGCATCCTCACTGTGGTCACAGTTGTGGGCATCCCAGCGGATGTGAGAGCAGAGCAGCAGGGCACTCTCGTCCCCACGGCACTTGACATTGTCCAGGAGGATAGGGCCTCGGCCTGGGCCAAAGTGGGCCTCACCAGGGGCTGCCAGGGCCTGGCCACAGCCCAGCTGGTGACACAGGACGCCGGCTGCCCGCATGTCCCAAGCATCATCGCACACAGTGCCCCACTGCTGCCCTAGGAAGAGCTCTACACGGCCCTCGCATCGGTGGGCTCCATTGGCCAGACGTAAGTGCCCTGTGGGGAGACAAGGTCTGGGGCTGAAAGGGGCTGGCCCAGGCCAGGCCACTCCCAAGCTAGGCCAGGTAAGGGGTAGTTAGAGGAGGCAAAGGGTGGTGGTTTGGGACACAGCAGTGCCCTGGGAACCACTGGACGAAGGCAGACAAATGAGATTAAAATAAGATGGGCATCGGTCCAGACTGCATCTCAAGATAGAAGAATGTGCACAAGACTTTGTGGGGCGCTCTTTGCATGCTGGGACCTTCATGTCTGCTCTCTCCTTAGTTCTCTGTTCACAATCCCAATACCTCAGACCCAGGGCTCCTCTCTATCATCATCGTCTCCCCTCCTCCCTGGACTCCCCAGACTAAAGTTTGAATTCTTTCATTGCTCTCCTGAGGACAGGAGCCCATCCCTTTATTTTGGTCCCAACTCTAGAAATCTCTAGATGACTCTAGCTTAAAACCCACCTCCCTCTTTCTGGACATCATGCCTCTATTAATGAGGCCTGAGACTCTCGCAGAAGGACAAAGGCTCCAGGACTGCTGTGTAACCCCGGGCTGTGACCTCCTTCCAAATCTGGTCCTTCGTATCCTGATGCCTCCACTTCACTCTTGGGGACGGTGGACACCTACCGTCCCGGGGCCGAGGAGTGGGCACCTGGGTGGTCTCAGCACCGTCCTGCTGGACTAGCTCGTCTGGGCCTGGTTCCGCAAGGATAAAGAAACAGGTGGCTGTCACATTGGGGAACAAGTCCCTTGAGGCCAGGTCACCTCTTACCCTCCAAGGGAGGACTGATTTAGGGTCAGAAAGGACTTCATAGGTCCCCGCTCCTTGGTACAGAAACGTGGGTTGTGCTTCTTTCACCCTGGGGCCCAAAGCAGAACCCTTTGTGGCCAAGGCTACCAGGACACCAAACAAGGGCGAAAATACCGATTCCCAAAGCAATCAATAAAGAGACGCATTTTTAAATGTGTCAGACTCTGCAAACACCCCTTTTCCATTGACTCCCACCAAGGGTCAAACGCTTGCTCCCCGAAAGCTGATCAACTCTCCCTGCTAACTACAGTTTTTCGGGTCCTTGACGCAGCAGAACAAAACCTCCCCGACCACGCCTGTCTGTCACAGGTTCTGCCACACTTTACCACTGGACTTCGGCCTCTCACCTCGGGCCCCGCCCCTCACTGCAGCAGAGGGCGCTCCCTTCGCGGCCCCGCTCATGCCGCGCAGCCGCAGAGCGAGCCGATGGTGGGCTCCGCCTCTGTCTGCGGAGCGTGAATCCTCTCCCGCGGCGCTCACGCGGTAGTGCCTCGGCGAGCTCTGACGCTCGGCCCCGCCCATTTCCCAACAGACCCCGCCCCTCCCGCGCTTCTGTACGCGCCTGCGCCGGTCCCGCCCATCTCACAGCAGGCCCCGCCCGTGTCGCAGTAAGCGCCTGCGCTCGGCACCCCGCCGCCCCCCCGCCCCCCCATTCCTCAGATGGTGCTCGGCTCCGCCCGTGCCGCCGTGCTTACGTGGTCCTGCAAAGGCCTTACCTGAGCAGAGCGCGCCCGCATCCTCGTGGTGGCCGCAGTTATGCTGGCCCCAGCCCAGGTGGAAGCAGTCGCTCAGGCGGGCCTCCGTGCCGGCGCAACCCACGTTGTCCAGCAGCACGGGGCCGCGGCCGTAGCCGAAGTGGCCGAGGCCCGTGGCACCCAGCGCCGGCCCGCAGCCCGCCTCGCGGCAGGCCACGCGCGCGTCCGCGAAGTCCCAGTCATCGTCGCACACGGTGCCCCAGCCCCCGGCGTATAGCACCTCCACGCGGCCGCGGCACGGGCTCGGGCCGCCCACCAGCCGCAGCCGCCCGCCTGCGGGGCGCACAGGCCCGCGGCCAGAGGGGCTGGGCTGGGGCCATCGGCTCCCGGGCAGAGCCCCGGCCCCACCCTCTTCCACCCACAACGGAACCCCGGCCCTGCCACTTACTTTTCTTCCCCGCCGCCCAGGCCGCTGTGGTGAACAGTGCCGGCTCCCTGGAAGGCAGGGCACCAACTCCTGTAGCTGCAGAGACAGGGTATCTAGAGCATTTGAAGGGGACAAAGAGGGCTTCTGGCCTGCAGCAGGGCACAGGGCGCGTCTACTGAGATGCCCCAACTCTTACCACACCTGCACCCCACTCAGCCTCAATCCTAGAGTCACCATGTTGTATGCTGTGGTGGGGTCCTCAGGAAGCTTGAAGGGAATAAACCAAATCCTACTTCCAGGCATTATCCTAATTTCGATCCCAATGATAGGTCCAGCCCTAATTGCAAATGTACTTCGACCCTTCATTCAAGTTATATCTCACTTCTCACAAGGCCTCTCAATTTCCAACCTCAGCCCCAACCCAAGTTTTATTTCAGAGCTTTGAGGAAGTGCCTCCTCCCACCCTGCTGAACTGTTCAGAGCTCTGGATTTCACCCTTGCTCCACCTGCTCATCTGTTCTCTCACCCACCTCTTTACCCTCTGTCCAAAAGCCCTGGCCTAATAGCCCGGGCCCCCTCCCCCTGAGTCCAGAACAGTCTTCCCAATTCCCAGCCCTGCCCACCTACCATTGCCCCTACCATTCCAGCCTGGTGGGCTGGGCTCCTTACCCTCTGGCTCTGTGTGCCAGGCCCAGTCCGCTCTTGTACCCGACGGTGGCAGTGCTGTGAGAGCCAGGTGCCCCAGGACTAGAGTAGGAGTCAGAGAAGGGAGTAGGGTCAGAGGCCAAGGTTCTGGTTCCTGGTCAGCCTTGGGCTCTCGGAGAGGATGGGAGGGTCTCCCTGGAGAAGACAACAGATTTTACTTTCAGAGCTGGGGGCTTAGTCCCAACTGGGGTCCAAGGAAGTCTGCCCCACTTTGCCAGTTCTTGTAATTTATTTGTGCTGCCTAGGTGTACACTTCACGGTTTATACAGGCATTCACAGATGTGCTTTCATGTCTCTCCAGTGCTCCCAGAAGCCCAATGTGTGTCCAAGATGGGGAGATAAAGAAGGCCTTGCCCAACAGGGAGGGCCATGCACAGTCCTGAGGGGCTTGCAGAACAAAACTCACTATCCCCATTTACAGATAAAATAATAAGACTAGAAAGGGCAAGGGGCATACCCAAGATCATGCAGCAAGGTTAGCTGAGGCTTTGCCAGGGCTCACTCTGCCTCATTGGGCCTCAGCTTTCCCATCTGTAAATTGGGGATGATGCCCCCTGGTTAGCTGTGAGGCATGGGCAAGCACTTTATATCTGGTAGAATGGAGTCCATTTGTGAAATGCCATTAACAGCCCTATTATTCCTACTTCAGAAAACCTCTCAGTATGGGAGAGGGACCAGGTGAGAATCAGGATTACAGATGGCTAGGGAATTCTGGGGACATACCTGGGTGTCAATGAGAGAATTCTGGAGTATCTCTGGAGCGATCCTAGAGGACTATTACTTTACTCTGAAGTATTCCATAAAGAGTACTTAGAAAGTGGTGGAAAATTCCGAAGGCATTTTTGGAGTACTGTTAGACAATTCTGGAGTATTGGTGAGGTAATACTGCAGTATTACATACCTGTGGAGTCTACTAGGACGTTCGGAGGCACTTCTAGAGCAGTACTGAGAAATTAAAACTAATTCGGGGGCCTTCTTGAAAGAGCTCAGGTTAACACCAAGACAGTCAACATCCCGGTCCCCTCCCAGGCCCCACTCCACCTCCTCCTGCTTCAGGACTCGGCCCCGCCCCGCCCACCGGCCCCGCCCCCGAAATCCGCACCTGCGCAGAGCGCGCCGGCGTCCTCGTGGTGGCCGCAGTTGTGCACCCCCCAGCCTAGGCTCAGGCAGGCTGCCAGACGGGGCTCGCCTCCTTCACAGTGCACGTTGTCCAGCAGGATGTGCCCCGTGCCGTAGCCGAAGAAGGCGTTGGTGGTGGCTGCCAGGGCCGCCCCGCAGCCTAGCTGGCGGCAGACCACGGTGGCGTCCGGCAGCCCCCAGTCATCGTCACACACGGTGCCCCACAGGCCACCGTGCAGGATCTCCACTCGGCCCTGACACGGGCCCGCGCCCCCCACCAGGCGCACGCTGCCCTCACCTGGTAATGGGGGTGGGGGGACAAGGAGCATCTCCCACATGGCTTTGCTGCCCATCCCAACCCAAAGTTCTTCCTTATTGCCCCAGGCCCTCCGCATACCCACAGTGCATGGTGTCCCAGGACTTAAAACCTAGGAGGAGCTGCTCACCCACTTACCCCCAAGGCACTGCTTCCTCAGAGTCTAGATTGGGGGTGCTTTGTGGGATCTGAGGACAGAACCCTATGACTGTGTCATTTCCTGCCTAAAAGCAACCCTCCCTGCCCTTGTCCATCCATGCTCTGCTAACCATCTAGGATGTGCTGATTCCTCATTTATAACACAACTGCAATGAAAGCCTTCTCATCTTTCCAGGTACAGCAACAACAACTCTTCCTCCAGGAAACCCTCCCTGATTTCTGATGAATGGGATCTTCTTCCTCCTCCGGATTTTCTTGCCTTTTTATCTGTCTTTCTTTAAGGGAACTTTTCATTTTGTTGTTCTACATCATTATCAGCATTTCTGTGAATATCGGACTCTCCCATTAGATTAAGCTTCAGCCCCCACCTCTCTTATTTTCTCCAACCTTGTGCTGACTATTTTTATCATCCCACTAGAATGAATCTTCTTTCCCTGTCCAGATGGTGAGGGGGTGCAGGGGCAGGGCGGGATGAAGGACTGACCAAACTCACCCATCAGTAATCCCTCACTTCCCACTGCCTAGGGTAGGGTTTGGGATATTCCTCCCTGGATCCCTCTCCTAAGACCCAGGTGGTCCCCCACATTGCCTTTACTTACCTTTTCCATTCTGGGGAGTTGTAGGGGGTGCCCTACTGGTTAACACTTTCCTTGTTGGGGGCTGCGTGGGCAAGAATTCTGGGAAAGAAGCAGGGTGGAAGGGAGGAGAATATGGAGTTTTCTGTTCTCCATCCTCACAAACACATGTATGTGAGGGGCAGGGCAGGGACCCCTAAGGTACCTGCCCTCAGGGCCTCTGGCCACACAAAGGGTCAAAACTAGGAAATCTGGGTTATGAGAGGAGAAAGGGCCACCTGAGTCCTGAAAGCAGTAGCTTTAGAGGATTTCGTTTGGTTCTCAGTTCTTTTAGTTCTTAAAGCAGCATCACATCACTTGAGAACTTGTTAGAAATGCAAATTCTCAGGCTCTACCCCAGACGCAGGATCAGAAACTCTGGCATGGGGCCACCATCTGTGTTTTGATGAGCCCTCCAGCTGATTTTCTTGAAAACCTGAACTACTGCTCTCAAGGTCAAAGCCTCTCAGAGATTTGTTGCAGCTCTACACCAAGCGGGCCTCACCGCCAGTGTTGACCCCAATTGTCTGGTTTTAGAAATGGGAAGAGGGCTCTGCTGGGATAATCAAGGCCCTCCATGGAAGCAGTAATGCTGGTTTTCAGCAGAGGTCACACAATGAGCCAGAGCACTGCTGGGGCCCAGGCTCTGACAGCCAGGCTGGGGGGCTTCCCCAACGCCGTGCACTGTGGCTGCTGGCTCGGTCTTCTTCTTTGGAACATTCTTACCGCTGGGAAGCCCTGCTGCCTGCCAGCCTGTCTGCCCTTCCGGGTCACAGACTGTCCTGCTCACCGTCACACAGGACAGCCACGTCCTCGTAGTGAAAGCAGTTGTGGACGCCCCAGCCTCGGCTGCCACACTCGCTCAGCGCGGCTTCCTGCCCACGGCACTCCACGTTGTCCAGCAGGATGGGGCCACGGCCCTGGCCGAAGGCGAGGGGCCGCGGCACGGGCAGAGCCAGGCCGCAGCCCAGCTGACGACACACCACATTGGCGTCCACCACGTCCCAGTCGTCGTCGCAGACGCTGCCCCAGGAGCCGCCATGCAGGACCTCCAGGCGTCCCCGGCAGCGGCTCGGGCCCCCCACCAGCCTCAGCTCTGTGGAGTGGGTTAAGCTGGCACGGGGGGAATCAGTGGGCCCAAACGAGAGGGTGCCTCCGCCTTGCCCTGAAGCTGTGGGGTCCTTGGGATCAGGCCCTCCTGGGACTTATTTCTCCCTTTCTGTAAAATGGGGAGACTAGAGCAATCCCTTTGGGGGCCTCTAGAATAATGGAGGGCTGGTTAGTCATTATTCCCTGGGTCTTCTGTCTGAGCATCTGAGTACCTCGGGAGCAGGGGGGGAGGGTGGGGGGGAGGGGCAGGGGCACCTACCTGGAAAGGGCAGTGAGGTGGGCTGTAGGGCGCTGGCTGGAACAGAGTGAGGAAGAGCATTGGCCCCCTCAGCCCCTTCCCTTGGCTGCCTGGCCCTGGGAACACAGCCCCCCCTCCTCTGCCAATGGTCCCCACCATCATCCCCCTCCTCTTCACTACCCCTGCTTTTCCAAAGCCCCTGACTGCCCCAGTTGGTTTCCTTGCTTCATCCCTCGCTCATTGGTCCATGGGCCACGCCAGAGAGATCTGCCTGAGACACATATCAGCTCAGCTTATCCCACTCCACTGCTGAATTCCTCAAAGACTCCCCTTTTCCTGCAGGAGTCCCAGAACCTAAGTTTTCTCTACAAAGTCTTCTAGGATCTTCTGATCTGCTTCTCCTTACTTCTTAATCTCCCATCAGTCTTGTCTCCAGGTCTTTAACCCTGCAGTCTCCTCTACTAGCCCAGCTCATTACAGCCCTGCAGATCGAGCCACCTCCTATGGGAAGCCTTCCTGGAGCTCTCAGCTAGAAGTGCTCTCTTTTTCCTCTGAATACCTGGGCACCGTATACATACCCTTTTCCAGGCCTTCTGCCCGGTGATGTGGCCATGTCTGTCTCATCTCGGTCTCCCCCAGAGCCCCCTGCCCAGAGCCTGTTACTCCCCAGGTGCTCAGTAGCTCTGCCTTAAGTGTGTAAATTACCTTTGGGATTCATTCTGACTTCCCCCCAAAGGTTTACCTGTATAAGTCCTTCTGGTTCGGCTCTCATATATGTGTATGTCGGGTACTGTGCTCATTGCTTTATGTGGCCTGACTCACTTACTCATTAGGACAACTTATGAGGCAGCTTGGATTTTGCAGAAGGGGAAACTTCAGGTTTAGTGAAGTTAGGTAACTTGCTCAAGGCCATTCCGCAAATAAAAGGTAGAGCTGGAATTCTAACCCGGACAGCCACACTCTCCTTCACCATACAATTCTGAGCACGTGGACTGAGAGGGAAACTGGCCTAGCGTGGGAAATTGAATACCCATAATAGCCCCTCATTTGTGCACAGAATTCTCAGACGCAGCCACATACCTTAGCTCAGAGAAGGAATCCTTACAACCTCTGAGGCATGTACTAGTGTACCCATTTTACAGATGAAGCAACTAAGAGTCAGTTTCTTCTTTCCTAAGTTAGGATAGTCCCTAGGCTGTTTGATTGCATCTGTTCCACCAGTTGGCTTTCCAACAGCCATTGGTGAGCCCATGCCCTTTCCCTCCTTGCCTGTTTCCAATATCCTAACTGCCCATACTCTGTGTACGTTGAGCCCTCACCTTTAGCACTGAGCCTTCCACTCCCCCAACTCAGACCTTAGCTTTCATCAAACCTGGGCAAATGTCAGAGCTGGAGGGAATGTTGAAAACCACCTCCTCTACAGGCCACCTCCCACTGTAATTTTACAACTGGGAAACCTCAGAGCCAGAAAGGGGAAATGGGGGGAGGGGGGCACTCACCCAGTGGCAAGAGGAGGAGGAAGGACAGGACAGGGGTGAGGAGGGAAGGGGCAGCGCTCCTGTCTCCCGGCCTCCATCCCCTGCTCTTCTCATCAGGCTGGGGACCAACTTGCATCTCCGTGTCCTTACGCGTCCAGCCAGTGGATGGCCTTTCCAAGGGTCCCATTAAAGGGTGGTGGAGAAGTCACAGCTGGAACTTCTGGAATTAAAGGTTCCCCTTCACTTCTTCCAGCTGGAAGGGCCCAGGTAGAGCTTCGGTGAGGGGTGGGGGCGTGACATTTCCACTTGGGTTTCGTATTCTGAGTGGAGGCGGCAGCTGGAGGATGAGGACAGAAACACAGATGGAAACTCCTCATGAGGAGTTAGGTCTGGCTGGAGCAGAGGGTGTATGAAAGCAAGGGGTGGGAGGGTTGTCTGATCCCAAACCGAGACAGGTCTGCCTGGCTGTGCCAAAGGCTCAGAGTTTTTCCTCCAGGGCAGCACATCCCAAAGCAGGGTGTTTGTGCCACTGGGGGCAACCCACATCATTTTGGGGGGAGATAGATGACATTTACTGTTTCATTTTCATTTATTTTTTCTTTTACACTGCCTTCTATTTATGGCAAAGGATTCTGGCTTTTCATTTATCTGGAACAACATAAAGTTTCCCTTTAAAGTTAATTTAATTTATTTAATTTTATTTTTTTGGCTGCACCGCAGCTTACGGGATCTTAGTTCCCCGACCACGGATTGAACCCAGGCCCATGGCAGTGAAAGCGCTGAGTCCTAACCACTGGACCACCAGGGAATTCCCTAAAGTTAATTGAAATCAGAAAAAAAAAAAGTTAATTTAAAGAAAAAACATCAGGGACTTTCCTGGTGGTCCAGTGGGTAAGACCCTGCGCTCCCGATGCAGGGGACCTGGGTCTGATCCTTGGTCAGGGAACTAGATCCCGCATGCATGCCACAACGAAGATCCCGCGTGCCACAACTAAGACCCCACACAGCTAAAATAAATAAAAATTAAAAAAAGAAAAAACATCAAGGAAATACAGTTCCCACGAGTCACAAATATGCAAGAATGGTATAGGGCTGGGAGAGTAAATGCCATTTGGGATTTTTTTTTAAATTTTGGATTGAGGCTTACAAACCAGAAAGTGCATAAATCGTAAGTGCAGAGCTCAGTAAACATTCACACCATGCAACCAGCATCCCAGTGTGCGGACTATGATTGGACGGTTGGCGGCTGGTTTAGAAGATGGTTCTGTTTGGGACATACTGAGAGCCAGGTTCCCGGGGGACATGGGTGCCCCTCTCAGCCGGAACGCACCCGCCCACCCCCCCATCTTTCCCTGGCTTTGCTTCCATCCTGGCATACAAACAGTCTGCTTGGGAAGAGGATGAAAACCTATCTGGATGTGGACACAGGGTTTTCAATACTCCATTCATGGGGCCCCCAGTGGAATAATCAGCTTTTGTGTTCTTGGGGACAGCTGGGAGATGGGAGTCGAGAGCTGTGAGGAGGGGGGAACCATGGTCCCATCTTTGCTGAGGGGAATCCACTGTGATCTGGGCCTTCCCCTGCCTCCCAGGCCTTGGGGCCACCCATCTCTCAGGCTGTTGGAACACTGACCCCCCAGGTCAGGGAAGCCCCTGCTCTGTGAGTATGGGGACACACAGCTCCCAGGGAACCTGGCTGGGAATTCTGAAGTACCCCCTCTCTATCCCCTGCCACCGTGGCCCAGGAGTGAGGGAGGAGGACCCCCGATCCTGACCGCCACTGATCTCAAGTCCTGGCTGACCCTAGAGCTCTCAGTGGGCCTTGTGGAAACTGCCTTATCTCTAGCTCCTAGCTTGGTCCCCAAAACTGCTCCCGCCTTACACCCTGGGAACCTTGGTCAAAATGAGGCTTAACCATTCCCTGCCCTCGTGGATTGTGGCTCCCTCCCTATCCTGTAGCAGTGCACCTGTTGCCCTGAACTGTTTCTTCACTGTTCAGGGCAGGCAGCACACACAGTGGTTACAAGAATCCGCTCCACCATCTACTTACTAGCTGTGTGAGCTCATCTTGCCACGCTTTGCTGTCCTCATCTGTAAAATGGGGTTAGTAATACACTTACCTCTTACAGTTCTTGCTAGGGTACATGAGCTAAAGTTTGTAAAAAGTTTAGCCCAGAGCCTGGCCCACCATAAGTGTGGTAGCTGTTATTATGATTACTGTTTCCCCGTTTAGACTGGGGACCCTCGAGAGCAGGGACCAGGGCTTACCCAACGGTAGCACCTGGCACAGGATGGGTACTAAGGAGACTGAATGAAGGTTAAGGCTGCAGAATCACAGCACTGAAGCAGTCAGAAGGGGCCCCAGAGATCATTAAGGACAACTCCACATCTGTCCCGTGGAAAACTAGTCACACACACTCACACTCACACACGCCAGCAAAAGGGAAGAATTCATACCTGGGGGAAGGTTCTAGGCTCTTTCTGTTCCTTCTTCTATAGTCAGTCCGAGGTCAAATCACTTTTTCTGCCTCCAGAAGTTTAGGACTGGGAAGGATCCCCCAGATGCAGATCAACACAGACCTTTCTTCTTTTCTTTCCAAAGCTGGGAGGTGAGCAGAGGCAAAGTCCCCCGTCCATGGAGCTGGCTGGTGGTCCCAGCCTGTCCCCACCCGACCTTAGGGGCAGAGGGAGGCAAAGGGAGAGTGAAGGTGGCCTGCAGTGTCTGGAGCAGCCCCCAGAAGGGGCACCGGGCAGAGGAGAAGCTCTGGGGTTGGGGGGCAGGCGTGGACTCTCAGGGCCAGGCAGCCCCTCCTCCCCCTTCCCCCACCCCAGGGTTCAGGTTTCAGAAAGGCCTGGATAGGCCTCCACCCCTTGGCAGGGCAGCCAAAAGCATCCCTGTCTCTCCTGCGACAGCCCTGATTCAACCCTTAGTTCCGTTGCCTGGGACTCCCCCTTGACCATGTCCAAACCCATCCCACCTGGGGGTTTGGAAACCTGGTTGCAGGAGCCAGAGTACATGAGGTAGGCTTCCCATGTAGGCAGGACCTCTGATTTTGCTGCTGATTTTTTTGCCTTATTGTGGTTCCTTTTAAGTTCCGGTACCTTTGGGACTTAGGCGCTTTTGTAGTTATAGGTGACAGGTAGTGGCGTGTGCTTTACTCTGTAGTTTATAGCTTCAGTCAAATGCTGTGCTGGAATTCTGCACCTTCTGGCTGGAACCACAAACTCTCAGAGCTGAAGGGGTCCTAAGAGGCTCCACAGGGTGGTTCCCAAACCTGGGTGTGCATTCACACCATCCCTGGGTGCACTTAAAAATATAAACAGATTCCTGCCCCTACCACTTTCGCCCCAGAGATTCCGATCCAGCAGTTGAGGGATGGGATTCCCCCCAAAAGTGTATTTTTGAAAATCTACTGAGGCTCAAACAAGTTTGGGGATCAGGGGTCTAACCCAAGCTGCTTATCGTGCAGATGGGAAAACTGAGGCCAAGAGAGGAAAATGGAGACACAGCCTGTACAACCTCGAAGGACTTAGTTCCCTGACTCTGGAGCCTGATCTTGCTTCCTACTTAGAAAAAGAAAATTCTCTGATACGAGGTCTGCCATCTCCTAGCTCCCAAACCTACACCCCCTCACATGTCCGCACTCAGCCCTCCTCTCCTCCCCGGGCCTGAGGAACTGCTCCCCTGCAGTCCAGACCCCATCTCCTTCTGCCTTCTCGGGGACCTCCCTCTCTCCATCTGTGGGTCTTCTCTCTCCCGTGTTCAGTTGCTCTTTCCCACCTGGATTCTTCCCATGGGGCTTCTAAGCAAACTGGTTTCTGTCATTTAAAGCAAACAACAGAAAACCCTTTCAACCTATGTCGGTTGGGTCTTCAGGGTAGAAATGGCCCAGCCCTAGTATTCCTACCATGCTTTTTTTTTTTTTTGGCCGCGCTGCACGGCATGTGGGATCTTAGTTTCCTGACCAGGGATCGAACCCACACCCGCTGGGCCATCAGGGAAGTCCCTCCCTACCATGCTTTGTCACTGGCTGGGGATGCCCGGGAATAGTGTGCCCTTGGCTCAAAGGCTGCAGTAGATCCCAAAGCTGCTACAAATGGAGGCTGTCAGCTGACTACATTCCTCACGACTCATCAGCTCCTTTCTCGGAGGGAGATCTGAGCAGACCATCTGCATGGCTGCCACTGGCCTCCATGCCGCACTGTAGCTGCTGCCCTACCCCTCTCCTCCCTATCACAGCCAAACTTCCCCAAAGAGCTGTCTGCTCACCCACCTTTATTTCCTTTCCTCTCACTCACTACTCAACTGGCTCCAATCTGCTTTTGGTCTTTAGCACGTCACTGAGACAACCCTTCCTCAGGTCAATGGTGACCTGCACATCATGAGATTCAAGGGACAATTTTTTCATTCCTTGTTTTAGTTATAATATGAGCTCTGAAACTGTATTCATCAGTTTTTGCTGGGATAGAGTGCATAACAAACAACCCCCCGAATTGCAATGGCTTACAACAAACATTTACTTTTCTCCCACGGTTCTGCACGTTGGCTCTGAAGGCTCTATTTCAGGCTGTGGGTTGGGTTCAGGTCGGCACTGTGTGTGCCTCATTTCAGGACCCAAGCTAAAGGAGCAGTGGTTACCTGGGGCATGCTCCTCCTGGAGATGAAGGCAGAAACCCCAAAGACCAAGCAAGCACATTTAAAGCTTGTGCTGGGTCACGACACACATCCCATCTGCTCATGCGTGTTACATTGTCTACAGCAAGTCATATGGCCAAGCCTGTTATCTATCAATGAGGCAGGGGAAGTATGCCTCTCCCAAAAGTGGGGAGGAGGAGAGAGTGAACATATGCTGAACAGTAGTATAACCAGAAAATAACAGAGGCTTAAACAATATCCAAATTTATTTTTATCTCTCACCAATAAGTGCTGGCAGGAGATCTAGAGCTCACGATTGTGAAGGATCCAGATTCCTTCTTTCTTCTTCCTCTGCCGCCCTCAACAGGGCTTCCTTCTCATGGTCCAAGATGGCTTCTCCAACCTCCGCCATCATGATTTTATTTCAGCCAATGTATCAGTCAGCTTGGTTGCCGTAACAAAATACCACAGACTGTGTGGCTCAAACAATAGAAATTTATTTTCTCACAGTTCTGGAGGCTGGAAAGTCCAAGATCAAGGTTCTGGCAAGGTTTGGTTCCTAGTGAGAGTCCTCTTTCTGGCTTGCAGAGAGCTGCCTTATCACTGTGTCCTCACATGGATCTCAGAGAGCTCTCTGGTATCTCTTCTTATAAGGACACTAATCCTGTCAGATCAGGGCCCCACTCTTATGACCTCATTTAATCTTAACTCCTAAAGGCCATATATTCATATATATTCACATTGGGGGTTAG